AGCAGGTTTATTGGGGTCTGGGGGCTCCACGGGTGGTGCCCCCCCCTTCCCCGGGGTTTATTGGGGTCTGGGGGCTCCACGGGTGGTGCCCCCCCCTCCCTTCCCCGGGGTTTATTGGGGTCTGGGGGCTCCACGGGTGGTGCCCCCCCCTCCCTTCCCCGGGGTTTATTGGGGTCTGGGGGCTCCACGGGTGGTGCCCCCCCCTCCCTTCCCCGGGGTTTATTGGGGTCTGGGGGCTCCGAGGAGGGTTTGGGGAGGTGCAGTGGGGGTGACCCCCATTCTGACACGGGGCTTAAAGGGGTCTTTTGGGGATGGTTTATTGGGGTCCGGGGGTTCCCGGTGGGTTTGGGGGGGTCCACTGGGGATGCCTCTACTCTTACCCGGGGTTTATTGGGGTCCTGGGGGGGGGTCTCGGTGTGGCGCACCCCCCTCTGTCCCGGGGTTTATTGGGGTCTGGGGGTTCCGGGGGGCTTGGGGGTGCCCCGCTCTGACCCCCGTGTCCCGGGGCAGGGGCGGAGGTGACGCTCACGGACCGTCCGGCGGCGCTGCCGCAGCTGCGGGAGAACGTTCGGCAGAACTTCCCGGGGGGGTCCCCCGAGGGGGTCGCGGGGGGGGCCCCGCGGGTGCGGGCGCTGTGCTGGGGCCGGGACCAGCGCCGCTTCCCCCCCAAATTCCACCTGGTGCTGGGCTCCGACATCGTGTACGACCCCCGCGCCTTCGCCCCCCTCCTGGGCACCCTCCGGCACCTCGTGGCCCCCCCGGGCCGGGCCCTGCTCAGCGCCCGCCGGCGGGGGGGGGGACGCGGGGACCCCTCGTTTCTTCGGGCAGATGTTGCCCCCGTTTTTTCGGGTGCAGCTGCTGCGGAGAGACCCCGAGGGGGACATCGAGATCTACGGGCTGACCCCCCGGGAGGGGGGCGGGGAGGGGGAGCAGCTCGCGGGGGGCTGGGGGGGTCCCGAGGGGGATTAAATGGCCTCGAGGGGCCTCAGCTCAGCGCGTTGTGTGGGATTTGGGGGAGTTTGGGATTTGGGGGGGTTGGGGTGGGGGGCCCGGGTTCTCTGCTGGCTGGGGGGGCTCTCTAAAGGTCGGGGGGGCTCCGTGAGGGTCTGG